GGCAGGAGACGGATGAAAATAGTTTCTGATAAACTAAATAAATCGATAATTCATTATAAGAATAATGCATTCGGTTATTCATCACTATCATTAACTGCTACCGTAGCTAAGCATTAGTGTCAGTTGAAGTCATTAGACTTAAGTTTACGAATTCAAGGTGTTTGGGACATAGAGTCATTGTGCCTCTGTATTCTATTACATTATTAAACAGTGCTTCGGCATTTTAATGTTTTGAAGTATGTATTTGACCAAAAATAATAGAAAATATAGATTCACTACTACAGTTCAAGTTGCACGAGCCCACTTTGAACCACATGAAAACGGCTCCTCGAGATTTCTATGCTAGCTTAAATAAACGTTTTACTTGTATTTTGACGTTTCACTGAATTCATCCACGCTTATATGCAGATATAATTCGATTTTTGTAACTAGCATATACTTTTCTATGGAACGTTCAGTAAACGTGTAAAAACTTTTCAGTATATAAGTAGAGATCTGAGAATTCAGTCGTAACAATATGCTGATAAGGCCATAGGTGTTACCATATAGTGAGGGTGTGGGTGCGGGCGTGTGTAGATATGGCTTAACAAATGGAAAGCATTCATACCTCTAAGAACATAAGAATACTGATTTCGGAGCAAGTGGATATGTCTCCTAGTAAAGACGTAAGCGTTGGTACGAAACCATCTTGCAAAACCTTTATTTCAGTAGTCTGCAAGAGTTTCGATACGCAACACCTTTAGATTCCGTAAAAAATCTTCTTTTAGAGCGCATTTAGTGGAAGAAGACAATATTCAAAACTTTCCTTGCCAAATCTATTCAAGTACACACTTCTCGTTTATATTTCTTGCCGTTAATCATGGAAACATACAGAGTTTTCCTATTCGTAGATTATTCAATGCCGCGCAATATGAGCATTCTCTTTTCAACTGAGTTCTATTGTTGATGAATGAGATAGTTCTTGAAGAGATAGTTCATGACGGGATTGTGTACACGAAACACTCAATACATACTTTTAAAAAAATTTTTTTGCTGATTCAAAGCATGAATGTCTAAAATCACCAACCTCAAAATTTTAGGTAATAATACCTTTTCCTTTGAAAAGTTAGCCAAACTAACTTGTAGCACTATCGTACCTTTTTAGGAAAAACAAGAAAAAAAACCTTATAAAAGATGTATCCGCTTGTGTTTCAACAGATCATTGAAAATTTTCATATTATATATGAAATAATAGATAAATAGAAGTTGAACAAAATAAGCTACATTGATATAATATAATGCCTAGCAATTCAAGTTTTATAAAGCCAAGATGAGCCAAAGAGGTCCTTTTGATCAGTTGAAATCCAACAATTTATCTCTGGCTGTGTTTTAGAATCAGTAGACCCCAAACTGGATTTTATATATATTGTGCTACTTTTTTTTCTCTACAAAAGGATATGTTAGGTGCGAAGTGAGGCTTACATCTACAAATTTTGGACAGTTTTTTAATAGAAAATGTACATATGTAGCGGTTTCATTGCCATAGCACACTGCTATAACAAAATAGATGCAATATTCACGATGAGCATAATAACCTGTATCTAGTCATATAAATTTATGTCATTTTTTCTTGATAACTATGCATAGTTAAGTCAATGGTTATCATTATTTATCGATACAAGCTTTATGGGTCGTTGCTAGACATGGACAGCATGGTCTAGCTTCAGTTTTGGGTCTGTCTCGTTGGGAACAAAGCTAGGATCGCATCCAGAACCACGCTGCTCATGTCTAGACGGAAGTAGGGTATAGGTAAGAGACACTATTCATATTTTTTTTGTCTAAAGCTAGATCCTATTCCACCCAGAAAAACGGTTCGACTTCAGCCCCAGGTCTGGTTTCAATATACAAGGCATCAGAATTGTACCAGTCATGTCTAATAGCGACAAGTTGCGCTTGCATATATAAATAATTTCAACGATCGGTTTAACAGTGCTAAGTTATTAAGAAGAAATTTATATACGCCTACCAAAAAATTTTAACGATTAAAATCGATAAAAATTTCAAAATCGTATGAACCAAATCGAAATCGATACTTCGATTATTCTACAACAAAATGCAAATGATAATCGATTATAATTTGGATTTTTTTTTCACGATAGTAACGATGAAAATCCTCATATAATTAGTTTCAACCCAATTTTGATTGATTTTTTCATATTGTTGTACTGATTTAAGCACGATGAGATGAAATACAACTAAATAGAGATTTCTCTAATGTAAAAGAAGACGGAGAAAATCATTATAAATCCGACTTTTCTTTTTTTCCCATGAGAATAATTTGTTATAATTCTATGCTACCTGTGAAACTTTTCCAATCTTTTATTGTGCGTTAATCAATTTTAATACATTGTCACTTGTTAATCGACTTCAACCATACACATTGAAAATGAGTGTTTTTCTAGATCTTTGAGCGCGATACTCTAATTTTTTATGAATTGTCCATGTTTAGAAATCCTGAAGTTGTCACCAAGCGAAAGTCTTGCAAATAAAGTGTATTTTAGACTTGCTACATAATGTCTTTCAAATTAAGATGGTGT